TCACTCAGAAATTGCTAGTAAATTAAAAAAATAATTATTAAAAAATGGCAAGCAACACACTGAATTAAACGTGACATTTTGATGTAGGAAGACGATGTTTTGTTTTATTTTTGTTTTATTTACAAATTCAAAAAAATATTTTTTATAGTGTACGGCCATTCTTTCTCTCATTTTAAGCCTAAAATGTAACCAAATAATGAGATTTATGCTTAGAACAAGCAGTTTGGCTCCTTGAGTAAAAATAATATTTAGAATTTTTTTATCGGAAAGCAAGACCAAATACTAATTATGAACATGATTTTTGCAATGCATTAAGTGGTTAAAGTGGCTCTGTTCCAAATCCCAGTGAGCTGCCTACATAGACAACACTTTAAAGACATCATTCCAGGTACATTCCAGATGTGAGGACTGTTTCAAAATGTAGACAGCAACATTATTTTGTCTCATTTTACAAATCTAAAGCAGCATGACATGCGTCCTTCATCACTAAAGCAATCAGAATGCACTGTGAAAAGATCAAAATGATTCAATATGGTGGACGAGTGTTAGAAAAATGTTGATTATCAATATGTGATCCTGGACCACAAAACCAGTCAATTTTTCAAAATTGGGATTTATACATCATCTCAAAGCTGAATAAATACGCTTTCCATTGATGTATGGACTGCTTTTGTGCTGCAGGGTCACATTTGCTGGGAAGTAAAACAGTTCAGTCTAATCAAAAGCGGAGTGTTTTACCCATTGTTTGTGTGTTTATGGGACATTTATGCATATAAGAGCATTGCATCATTAGCTGAGCAACAGTCGAGTCTCTCTAATGGACTTTTGAAAGAGATGCATGGTAAAGTTACCAGCTTCAGCAACAGACAAACCAGCTTCTGTCGGAAACAAAAAGACCTGCTTCATCGGTTCACAGAAATCCACTAGTTTTAGAAAAGAAATAGAGCTTGAGCGAGCAAACAAAGAGAGGGCAGACAGAAAGGGACACGCTCTTACTGGATACACGGAAGGAAAATGTTGTGTTAGTTGATGCAGCCAATTAATTATATTGCAAGCCATTTAGAAATCTATAAAAGAAGCATAAAGGGGTTGAGGCTGTTTGAGAAAGTGTAAGTATGGTATTAAAAAATGCAATACGTGTATTTCAACCGCTCTGGGCGTTGTTACATTGGAGTCTTTTTTAAAAGGGAAACGCTGTGTCTTAAAAAGGAGAAACCTTTAAATTATGCATTTCATTTTCTAGCCTCTCTTTTCTTCTCGCTCTTGTGTTTTGTTTTTGAGGGAGTGAAAATATGGCTGCACGTGAAAAGGTGTTTTTTGCATGTTTTGCTTGACCCTGAGGGGGCGCTGGTGAGGTGTGTGTAGTAAAGTGTGTTTGAAATACAGGTTGAGCCTCGTTTTCATTAATAGATCATCAGCTTTAACATGCATAAGAGGTATGATGATATGTGACCCTGGAGCACAAAAGCAGTCTTAAGTCGCTGGGGTATATTTGTAGCAATAGCCAACAATACATTGTATGGGTCAAAATTATTGATTTTTCTTTTCATTATTGATGTTCCATGAAGATATTTTGTAAATGTCATACTGTAAATATATCAAAACTTAATTTTTGACTAGTAATATGCATTGCTAAGAACTTCATATGGACAACTTTAAAGGCGATTTTCTCAATATTTCGATTTTTTTTTGCACCCTCAGATTCCAGATTTTCAAATA